CCAAGGTACCAGCCACCATCTGCCCTTGTCATGACATTCACTCATGAAGTGTATAGCCTTAGAAAACTAAGGCTTCCGGTCTAATCATCATTCAACCATCATAAACAATGTGTAAATTCATAATTAACACAGGTTAATGTGTTATCTACCATATTTCCTCCAGTTTATTAAGTGCCATGGACAGATATTTCAAATTTGGGATTTAAGCTAAAGGGGGCCATATAATAATATTGAAAGTTAAAGACAGCTGTGACCTGCCAAGTAGACAATTTCAAAGTACAAGTACCGAGAATTACTAAGCTTTCCCAAAGACAAACTTCAATTAACTATAGCAGAGTGTTCTAGCCAAACATTTACTGATACACTGTTTACACTGGCTATTCACACGTTTTAACGAGACAAATGTTAATGATCTTTTGTTATAACTTTTATTTCCAAACTTAACAAAAATATAGTGATTAAAATATGTAAAGTGGCTCAAAAGGATAACAATAGAAATCTAGTGTATTAAATATAAAAATGAAAATCATGGCTTTCATTTCTGCACCCAAAACACAATTTCATGTGATCGTTTTCAGCCACTGTATGTGGGTTAGTGTACAAAATATAAATATGGAATTAAAAGATAAGGTTTGGGACAACATTTGCCTAATTACAGGTATGTGTGAATCACTGATATACAAGTGTAAAAAGTGGAAAAATAATGTAAATTATCTTTTTGACACATCCTTCTAATGGGAAGCAAACCTCAGATTCTGGATTACCGGTACCAGCGCTGTTTCTTTAAGTGTTGGTGCCCGAAAATGCTTTTTGGCTAATTTACATGCCACGATCTCTCAGCCTAATTTGTGGCTCCAACTTGTAAAGGAAATGTGTATAAAAAAGGTACACAGGAAAAATTTATGTGGCAAATCAGTTTCATTCATCCTGCACATTGTTGGCACGAATTTGCCAAAAACATAGCAGGACTTAAAACAGTTTTCCCAAGCTGGTCCTAGGTAATCAAAACATTTCTACTCACAGGACTTGCACATATTTGCCATAGTTTGTTTTCTAGAAGAATTTATTGATAAATACCTGCTGAACCTTACTTTTAGAGCTGATACTGGGTTACGACTGACAAAACCTACGGTACTTTATGGATTCTCAATTCATACAGAGACCTTGTTATTATGACTGCTAGAACTTTGGTTCAGTTGCTACACGTTCTCTTAGATTAAGACGCTTATGAAAACACAGACCTTGTCAATACAGACACTTTCTGTCCTCCATATGAAGTCCCTACGAACAGGGCTAAAACATATAAATAATTTACATCTGCCAGCAACAAACAACAAGAAAATTACAATTCTGATGAACTTGCTCAGGCCAAGAGTATGAGCGTGTATCATTGGACTAGGCTGAACACTTATGTGTACTACATTTGATACTGTGACTTTGCAAACTGTGCTATAACGAAGACAGTTACCTCAGTGTAGTGTACAAAAGATTGGCCACTGGGTAATGTTAACACAATTATTCTTATTGGCCCTTAAAATTGTAAGGTGCAAATATAAAACTATGTCATCTTTGAAATGCAGGCAAGTAAACATGGCACCTTACTGTAAAATTGTCATGCCAGTGCCCTATCAATGATATGTACACCAAAAAATCCAAAGAAATGATAATGCAGGAGTGCATGGAGAAGAGAAGTGCATAGAGAAGCATGGAACAACCAAGTGCTTCTTGCATTTCTCATTCTATGTTCTTAAAAATTAACAAGTGCTTAACTCAACAATGCACAAGGAGCAAGTCAAATGTTTCCTTTTTA